ATTGTATATTGACAAAATAAAAATTAAAAAAAAAAAAAAAAAAAAAAAAGAGCTCCTTGAAATACAAATTTGGGGCCGGCCCCGTGGCGCACTCGGGGGAGTGCGGCAGCGCTCCCGCCACGCGTTCGGATCCTATATAGGGATGGCCGGTGCACTCACTGGCTGAGTGCGGTGCGGGCGACACCAAGCCAAGGGTTGCAATCCCCTTACCGGTCACGAAAAAGACAAAAAAAAAAAAAAAAAAGAAAGAAACACAAATTTGAAGTCCTTCCAATTTAGGGTGTATGCTAGCTTACAAAGAAGTATTTTATTGATCCATTGTGTGTTTAAAATATACACCTGCAAAAAGCTGATTAAGATTAGGGATGTGAACCAGTTTGAGAATAAATAGGAAGCAGGATTAGTAATGCAGTTATGAAAAAATTTAAATTTAGATAATATCAGTGTTCAGTATAGAGAATTTATTCAGTATTTATTTGTACTCAGTTACAGAAAGAGTTACCACAATTAAGAATTTACATGATCTCTTTCTGAATAAACTAATTGCCTCTGCAGGTGTGCCACTGTGTATCTTAGTTATACCGACCTATTATTACACCACTATTACATCAATAATTTTGAATCAATCTTGGCAACCTATAGTAACTGGAGAGATCTACCTACTACTGTGAGACTACTGTCGGACAGATCATAGAAGCTGGAAAAGATGGATTTAGTCATATTTTTAAACTTGGGCCTTTCTCTTCTATGTAGCTGTTGAAAGGATTAGATGAGGAAACACTGATATGAAACTATAATGTTCTATCAAAATCTGTGGAGTTAGTATTGATGAATCCTGCCAGTAACGGCCACGTTAAGGAGAGATTTAATAACAATAATGAAGATAGTAACATCTGCTGATGCTTACTATGTCTGGGCACTATTATCCACACATCTCTTACATACTCCTCAAAATTCTATGCTGTCAAAAACATTAGCATCTCTGTCTTACAAATAAGGAAACTGATGCTTAGAGAGATTAAGTCTATGATAATTTTCTAGATATACTCATCGTTGAATTTGCATTATCTACAGTTTGTGCCTTTAGATAAGTCTCCTGGGAGAGAAAGGAAGTATTTAGCCCTCAAATACATAAACATGTTTTATAGTACATATCATTGGGAAGGAGTAGTGGAACAGAGGTTAAAACAAAAACAAGAAAACAAAAAAAAAAAACAAAAAAAAAGAAAGCAGTGGTAAGAAGTGGAGGTTACAGCCTTGAGCCAACTGAGTCATCTTTTTAGTATCTAGAGATACAAGCAAGCTTCAATTACACGGCACTGCTGGTCTTAGTAATCAGTAAAAGACAGTCCTGGAATGTCTGCAGAGTGGTCTAAATTTACATAGACTATCATGTTTCTAGAATAGTCCCCTAATGCTAAAATGAGAGATCTTACAATAGTTAAATGGTTTAATTAAAGATGAAGTTAAAATTATTCCTTATCATTAAGCCCAACAGAACCCTACTGTTAAATTTTAAATAGCAGTGACAACCTAGTTTAAGATTACAAACTAAATGTTCTATAGGAAAAGGAAATTAGCAAGGATGGCATGAAAACAAGGCCCTGATTTAAGAGCAATGTAGGGTATCTAAAGAATGACAACTGGAAAATACCACAATAAAAGTTTTCAATTAATCTGGGAAGGTTTTTGTCCCAATTAGTGAAAATCTAAGTCCTTGATTCTCAGTATACCAGTGAAAATAACACTTGAGGCAGCAATTATTCTAAAAGCTAATAACAATATAATTAAGGCTCTATGTATTTACATGGCTGGCAAAACCTTCAGTAAGAGGAATCACGTGGTAGGTCCAAACAGTGTAGGGTGCTACACTGACAAATGTACTTGTGGATAGTCTCTCTTTTGCTGCTTATGAAGGTGCGTGTGCTTACTGTTCTCTGATGCTGGTGAGGAAAACAGGCATCTGGGAATGGCTGCAACAGAGGAGACCTCATGTGCCCTAACTCCCAAGGGAAAAGTCCTGCACCACTCATGAGAATGTTATGATTTATGATAAACTCACCTCAAAGAATATTTGGAATGTTTGACGTAGAAAGGCTCTCTGGGACTTAAAAACTTCAGCTGGAATTTAATAAGAAACACTTTATGAAGTTATGCAAATTAGATATTTTAGCATGTATAAAACATACTGTGCTTTTCTATAAAGACACATTTTGTAAATTTAGGCATAGCCCCCAAAGTATATGTAAGACAATAAATGCTCATGTAATGAAAACACATTTAAAGGAATTTTAACATGAATTTACTCTAGTTTTGACTAAAGTAAATGTTACCCAAAAATGTCTGTGTGATAGTACAGTAGAAAGAGAAAAAGAAAATTAAAAATTAAAATATCAAAACAATATATATTTTTTTCCTTTTTTGTCTTTTTTCGTGACCGGCAACGGATCGCAACCCTCAGTGTCGCGCCCGTACTGGACCGGGACCGGCAACGGGATCGCAACCCTCGGTTTTGCCCCCGCACCTCGCTCAGCCAGTGAGCGGCCGGTCTGTATGTGGGATCCGAACCCTCGGTGGGAGCGCTGCCGCGCTTCCCAAGCGGCGCACTATAGCAGTGCGCCACTGGGCCGGCCCCAAAACAAAATTTTTGATTTTCAAATTAAGGGTCATGAACTTCCAATGAGTTCCTTTTCAAATATAGTATTAAGGAATTTTTTTCATATTAACTCATATGACAATTTAAATATAATCTATAAAAGAAGTTTATATTAATCAGGAAAACACTTATTATCAAATAGTTGAATGCATTTACTTTTCCAAAAGCCACAGTAATATTTCTAACTTACCAAGTGTGTAATGTAAGAATTGTTTCGCAAATTGACCTTCAGCGTCCTTGATTCCCCCACTCTAGTTGGGAGAAACCTGTACATATCTTCCGGGGCATAAACTCCACAGTGAGTCAAATCAAGCTGCCTGCTTTTGGAATAGGTTTAAAGTTAACTATTTTATATATTAAATTATGCAGTGTAGCTTTAATTTCTGTTTTCTCATACAACTTATTTTAGAGTCGTTTTGCAACGGCACCTTACCTCATCTATGTGAAGGTAAAATGGCCACAGTGTCCTAAAAGGTGCTGGTTAGCCGATGCTCTGTAAGCTCTGCCTTCACAGCATTTTCTCATTAAAGCCTGGCTCTCTACCAGCCTCAATCCCTTAGCTCATTTCACCTGGCTACTCTGAACTGTCACAGGGATAGAGCCACTCTGCTGACAACATGTCGTTTCTTTGGCCACTCCTCAGTCTTTGCCAGCTTCCCTCCCCTCCCTCCTTTCTGTGGCTCTTGCCCCAGGCTTGGCCCTTGTGTCCTCATCCTGACTGTGTGCACTATACTCTTGCTAGGCAATCCCAGCCCACAGTGGGCTCAGTGACCTCGCACCTGTGCAGTGCCCAGACTCACAGCTTAGCTCAGGCTTAGCCTCTGGGCAACACACCTGTATATTCAATCCCACACAGTCATCTTCCTCTGGATATCTCAAAGCCATCTCAGTCTCCACAGATGCAACCTTTCTCCTCTAACCTGATCCCCCACTGGTATCTCCTGTCTCAGAGAAGAGTGAGACAGGTTGATGTGGCTCCTCCTCCAGAAGGACATGGCTCCTCCAGCCATGGAGGTGGGACGGGGCATTCTGCTCTCATCCCCAGTTCCCCAGAACACAGGAGTGCGCAGCAAGTATGAGACGAATGGAAGAACAACAGCCTAGAGAGTGTGCCAAGAACACATATTCTTTAAAGGGTTCTAATATCCTCCAAAATGCACTATGTGCTCCAATTTGAAAATAAACAACCACATTTATATTAAATTTGGTAGGCATTTAGCATATATTTTCTTCCGTGCATCTTCCTCCAGAACTATATCAGACCTAATTATTAGTTAACTAAGGATTATAAAAAACATTTTCATTAGGTAGAATACTTAAGTATTATCATTAAAGCTGTGTAAGATGCTGGGATAAAATTTATATTTTAAAGTTTTTAAGAATATACTTTCATATGCTGCTTATAGGAATGTTAAATGGTACAACCACTTTGAGAAAACTATTTGGCAGCTTATTTTAAAAGTAAACACATTCTTATCATGTGATGCAGCAATTTTGGGTAAAAATAGGTATTTTTACCCTAAAGAAATGAAAATGAATATCCACAGAAATGCATATAAAGTTCATAGTAACTTAATTCAAGCCCCAAATGATAAGATACCCAAATGCTGACAGGGAAACAAACTGTGATATGTTTATATAATGGAATACTAAACAATAAAAAGGAACAAACTGTAGGTACACTCAATAACATGAATAAATCCCAAAAATATAGGTACATTCAATAACATGAATAAATCCCCAAACATGTTAGGTTGAGAGAAAAAAGCCAGATACAAAGAGTGCATATGTATACGAAGTTCAAGCAAAACTAATCTACGATGATCGAAATCAGAACAGAACAACTCTTGACTGTAAAGGAACACATAATGTTCTGAGGTGAGAGAATTTTTTTTTTTTAAATTTTGGCGGCTGGTCAGTAAGGGGATATTCCATCTCTTGATTGGAGTGGCAGTAATCCATGTGAACTCATAGGTAAAGTCACTGGGAATTTTACTGAATATAACTATATCTCAGTGAAGCACTGGAAAAAAATTTAAAACAACATACCCAGGTATGAGAGCAGAAGCTGCTGACACAGCTTGTCTTCGGGGCTTAACTAAATTATCTATTTTAGCGAGGGTGGCCATGGACACGCATGCACCTTCAGATTCATTTTCTGCTTTGACACTCTGTATAGAAACATCACAGGGTGGGGGAAGAGGAAGTAAGCACTCTAGGAAATATATGGACATTTACCCATCTGAATTCTACCCTTTCCTTTAAATTTTTTTTTTAAGTGACTTAGGATTTTTAAATCCCCTAACTGCAAACCCTATACTGTGTACTATCTAGTTTCTCCTTCTCTCTCCCCCCACTCCCCCACACAGAGTATCTTACATAATTACATGAAACATAGGTTTCATGTGCTGTATGGACAATAGAGCAAAACCCAGACCTCAAATATGCTAGTCAATAAGATTAAGATTATAGGGCTATACAACAGAATTAGTAAAACTGGGATAATACCAGGAAAATATTCTGCACTTTCAGGCCAGTTTATCATGTCAGTTTCACTTAGTATTTTTAATATACACACAATAATTTACTTAAATTCAGTTTAACACTTACTCGTCCAGACAGCTGAAATCTCAGCGTGTGTTTCATGTGAGGCTCTTTAAGTGGGTGACACTCGGCATCCCAAAACTGGGCATAATCCCCTCTATCTCTGGGCAAAAATGTGATGGAGACCTACAAAACACATCCCGAAGAGAAATTCAGACACTGAACATTACACACATGTAGTTAGCTGGATTACCAATTCAAAGTTCTGGCATGAAAAAATTAAAGGAACAAATTCTTTGGCATTGGCTACTTTTCCCACCAAATGAAAAAGAACTTGAGTAACTTTATTCCTACTGGGATTGTTACCATACCAGATCCAAAAATACACTTTTGTTTAAGGCTTTATATAACTATTCCTCAAAATGTACAGTGAATGCTTTTCTGGAGGGAAAAAAAGTTACAGAGAAGTACCCGAGCTGTCGAGCACATGATCTACGAGGAAGGTCCAGCTGCACGAACACAAGGCCAGCCCTTCCTCGTGAAGCCTACGGAGCCCCCGCCAGCCCAGCAGGCAGAGCAGGAAGGCCCGGCCCTGCCCTGCAGTGCAGAGGACTGGAAGAGTGGAGGGAGGGCGGAACAATACAAGCCTCATGACGCCAGATAATCACAGCTCCTGTTTGGACTAAGTTGAGAACTCCGTCACAGTCAGCTACCCTGACCACACAGTGCAATGTTGTACATACAATGGGCATGTATACCACCTCTAGAATGCTCAGTAATGAGAAAACTGTAATATTTAAAAACAGAATTTTATTACACTTACCAGCATTAAGAGCCCTAGCTTTATCAAAGAATTTAGTATTAATAATATGGATCATCAATTAGGTTGAAAACGAATCGGTGTCTTTGAGTATGGACTTAAAACTTTAAGACACCAAAGTGACCTAATTTCTGTCCCTGCAGAACATAAAAATCAATATACCCAGCAAACCTGAGCTTAAGGCAGGACTGCTCAAGGAGATGAGCACACTGAGCCGAGGGAATCAAACTGCTAAAGAGCATCTGACACACAGAAGATGAAGGAAGTGAGAATGAAAAGCCCCATGACCGGAATGGTGAAAGCACACAATTATCAGGAGCCACTGGGGACTACAGTAGCGCATAATCCCAATTACACCCCTTTCAAACACCAAAACAAAACAAGAGGTAAGAAAAAGCTAATATTACTGCATGTTATATGCTAGGTACACACTGAGAACTTTCATGATCATTGTTTCACTTAATCTTCGTTATCAAACTGACCAATGCTTCAAAACACTATTGTGTACATCTCTTCCTTTTAAGAAATAGGTCATAACTAACAAATTCACTTTTTTTTTCTTTTGGGATCATATATATCAGTCATTGTGCTATTTGGTAATACTTTCCTAAACGGTCTCAGAATAATGTGCTGTTTTTTCCCTAATATAAATTCAGTAACCATATTTAAAATTCATTTGACAAAGATTTACTGAGTTTCTGCAATGTAGTGAATAATTAGTTCAGTGTAGGATATACAGTGATGAACACAATAAAAATCAAAGACTTCATGGAGCTTTCTATTTTAAGCATTGTGTGAAAGGGAGAAATTCCTGGGAGACAATCTAGGCTGTACCTTTTTTAAAAAAAACAGCTTTATTGAAATACAATTCACATACCATATGTATTATTTATATTTTTTATTTTCTGTATATTGTGATGTTTTGACATCTTTAAAAAAAAACCTATTAGACTGGGCTAACCAACTCTTAGAGACAGCCAAGGTCTCAGTTAGGACCATGCCTTTGATATGCAATCTCACCAGTGCAGAGCCACACCTCCTCACCTGCCGTGCACTACTCTGCCAGGGCCCAGTACCATGCCACTAGAGGCCGCCCCTTTAACTTAGAGCCAACCAAAATTATTCAAGCTAGCTTACACCAAACTGTTCATCCTGCCCTGCCTTGACATTCCTGTGGAAATCCCAATAACCCAATAATGGCTGTGGTCTGAACTCTCACCTCACCCCTGTCTTCAGCCACCTGACTACCGAGGTTCTCCGTGGTAACCTCCTCCCTGGGAACCTGGGAACACAATTAGCTCTGTTTTCCTGAGCCTCTCCTGCGTCTCCTCTTGTGGCCACACCTGATTGACCACCACATAAAAGAACATAAAACACCATACAATCCACCCATTCCAGGTGTGTACAGTCAATGGTTTTTAGCATACTTACAGAATTATGCAACCATCACCACAAACTAATTTTAAAATATTTGAAATCCTATACCATTAGCAGTCACTCCCCATTCCCCATTCTCACTCCCAGCCCCTTGCAACCACTAATCTACTTTTCTATTCTCTATAAATTTCCTATCCTAGATATCTCACATAAATGGAATCATAAATATATAGTCTTTTGTCACTAGCTTCTTTCACTTAGCATAATGTATTTAAGGTTCGTCCATTGATGGAGTTTGGATGTGTTGTCCCCTCCAAAACTCATGTGGAAATTTGATCTCCAATGTGGCAGTGTTGGAAACTGATTGAGTCATGGGGGCGTATCCCTCATGAATGGATTAATGCTCTGAGGGGGGTGGGGGTGGAGGGGGAAGGGTTAATGAGTGAATTCTTGCTCTATTAGTTCCCGTGAGAGCTCATTGCTTAAAAAGACCCTGGCACCTTCTCTCTCTCTCTTGCTTCCTCTCGCCATGTGATCTGCTTGTACCCACCGGCTGCCTGCCACTTTCCACCATGAGTAGAAGCAGTCTGAGGCCCGTGCCAGATGCAGCTGTCCCAGAATTGTAAGCCTAATAAACCTCTCTTCTTTATAAATTACCCAGTCTCAGGCAATTCTGTTATAGCAACAAAAAACGGACTAAAACATCCATCTAGACATAGAATGTATCAGTAACTTTACTCCTTTTTACTGCGAAATAATATTTCATTGTGTGGATAAACTACATTTTGTTCATTTACCCATCAGCAGTTGAACATTTTGGATTATTTCCATCTTTGTTGGCTATTGTGAATAACACTGCTATAAACATTTTGTGTACAAGTTTTTGCTAGAATCCTATTTCAATTTTTTTTTTTGTATATAACTAGAAGTGAAATTGCTGGGTCATATAGTAATTCTATATTTCACTTATTTAGGAACCGCCTACCTGCTTTCCACAGTGGCTGTACTATTTTACACATTACCACCAGCAATGTAGGAGGGCTCCCAATTTCTCCACATCCGTACCCACACTAGTTATTTTCTGTTTTTTGGGTTTTTTTAAACATAGCCATCTTAATGGGTATAAAGTGATACCTCACTTCCAGTTTTGATTGTACTTTGCTAATGAGTAGTAATTGTAAGCATCTTTTCATATGTTTGTTGGCTACTTGTATGTTTTCTTTACAGAACTGTGTACTCAAATCGTATGCTCATTTTAAAAATTGGGTTATTTGTCTTTTTATTGAGTTGTAAAAGCTCTTAGCATATTCTGGATGTAAGTCCTTTGTCAAATACATGATTTGCAAATATTTGCTCCCATTCCATGGGTAGTCTTTTCACTTTCTTGGTTGTAGTGTTTGATGTACAAATGTTTTTAATTTTAGTAATTCACCTATTTTTTTCTTTTGTGGACTACACTGCTTTGAGTACTGTGGCTTTACGGTAGGTTTTGAAAACGGGAATTGTAAGTGCTCCAACTTTGTTCTTCTCCAAGATTGCTCTGCTTAGGTGAGTCCCTGTACATCCACATAAATTTAGGATCAGCTTGTCAATTTCAAAACAAAATGAGGAAAAAAACCCCAGTTGGGGTTTTTGACTGGGATTGTGTTGAATCTGTAGATCAATTTAGGACATATTGCTGTCTTAACAATGTTAAGCTTTCCAATCCAGCGACAAGGGATGTCTTTCCTGCTGGCTTTTTCTGTTTGCAATCCTTCCTCACATGTGGAACTTTTATTAAGCAATGATATTTCATTTTCCAAATCACAACAGAAGTAAACTATGCTTGTAGAACTGTGTGTCTTTCCAAAACAGTGAGAAAACCTCTGAAAGCCTGTTATACAGACCCAGTAAAGTACACAGAGTTTGCAACAAATACTATAGCTGCTCTAAGATTCTTTTATAATCAGTTATGAGTTCATAGGTACATTCTAGGACTTGTCAGAAGTCCAAATATCTGAATCAGTAAGCCAATATTATATAAATGCTATAGTTTAAATGAGTTCCAACAATTACATTGAAAGAGTATATTACTGAGGCCAAGTGGATGACTAGTGTCACCAGGAGATATCTGAAGGGACTATGTCAGGTCTAGAAATGAATTAAGATTTAAGAGGGTCATAGTAGCTGGAGGGATCTATCACCCAGAAAGATATACTATTGACTATACCATGAACATCAAGTTGTTTTGTGAGTACTGGCTACAACTTAGTAGATCAGGGAAGTATGTTCTAAGCACTAGCAACCTATGGCCTTTATCACTCAGTACAGTGTTCCACTTAGCTGACAATGCTTTCATAGGAAGACCTGCTGCCACAGCACAACACACATGCATTGACTTAGTCCAAGGCAGTCCTCCTCCTGCAGGCAGACTGGCTCTGTGAATAGTGGTCTAGGTGAAACAAACTAGAGTGGGTGGAATCAAATGAGGCATTCCTGGGCAGTTAACAACCTGTTCTACCAACTTCAAAACTCACCCTTTGCATTCCGTGACTTTCCAGTATACCAGAAATAGGAGAACATCTGAATGCTGAATAGGTAGCTCTAAAAATATCTCCACTTTCATCGGAACTGTGTGTCTTTCCAAAACAGTGAGAAAACCTCTGAAAGCCTGTTATACAGACCCAGTAAAGTACACAGAGTTTACAACAAATACTATAGCTGCTCTAAGATTCTTTTATAATCAGTTATGAGTTCATAGGTACATTCTAGAACTTGTCAGAAGTCCAAATATCTGAATCAGTAAGCCAATATTATATAAATGCTATAGTTTAAATGAGTTCCAACAATTACATTGAAAGAGTATATTACTGAGGCCAAGTGGATGACTAGTGTCACCAGGAGATATCTGAAGGGACTATGTCAGGTCTAGAAATGAATTAAGATTTAAGAGGGTCATAGTAGCTGGAGGGATCTATCACCCAGAAAGATATACTATTGACTATACCATGAACATCAAGTTGTTTTGTGAGTACTGGCTACAACTTAGTAGATCAGTGATGTAAGTTCTAAGCACTGGCAACCTATGGCCTTTATCACTCAGTACAGTGTTCCACTTAGCTGACAATGCTTTCATAGGAAGACCTGCTGCCACAGCACAACACACATGCATTGACTTACTCCAAGGCAGTCTTCCTCCTGCAGGCAGACTGGCTCTGTGAATAGTGGTCTAGGTGAAACAAATTAGAGTGGGTGGAATCAAATGAGGCACTCCTGGGCAGTTAAGATCCTGTTCTACCAACTTCAAAACTCACCCTTTGCATTCTGTGACTTTCCAGTATACCAGAAATAGGAGAACATCTGAATGCTGAATAGGTAGCTCTAAAAATATCTCCACTTTCATCAACTCCCTGCAAAAAATCATTTAAATAATCAAAATATAAAACATAAAAGCCAATAAATCAATTCCACAGTGATACCATTACCTTTATGGTTATTGAGAACACACCAAGTCCATGTAGAAGCAGACAAGAAAAGCTCAATGCCTTCACAGAAGTGGGAGTGTGCCTGACCGAGCTCTATGCAGGGACTGCACACAACTGTCACCACCACACACAAGAGACCACACACCTGCTGGGATCTTTACGATGCTGTCCACAGTGTCTCATGACTGTCTTTTCCTCAAAGACCCTACAGACACTGCTGAAGTACATTTTAACATTCTATGCGATAACAGTTCTTTATTTCTTTATGTAGGTTGAGCAACTATTTTTGCACATATTTTGTTAGTATTATGGCTCAGAACTATTACCATCGAATAAAATAAATGGCAGAGAAGCCACAGTGCTCTACACAACAAACGACAAACCCACTTGGTCCAGGAATGCCACTGGCAGAGACTCTCAAAACTACCTTGAGAAAAAGACTGGGCATGTATCATCCCCACCCGTACAGAAAAACAAGTACATGAACTGGTGGGACCAATAACCATAACATCAACCCGGGCTCATACTCAGCTTTTAAATATCCTGCATAAAGTTTAAACAGGAAAATGGATATATCCAAGGGAATCACGACTGACCTTGACATAAGGTGGCGCTAAAGACGACAGGTGCCACTTCACAGCTGTGGTGCCTTGATTCTCGAGCTCCAGCCAGCTCTCTAGAAGGAACATAGGCAACACCACTCACACTCTGAGAGAGGTCAGCGAGCCAGCACATTGACAGGACAGGCCTCGTTACCTCATTACAGGGGAAGAACAACCATTAGATCCCTAGAGGAGTTCCACAGAAATTACAGTGTCTCCTAAAACAAGCAGGTGTGTCAGATACCCAATTTTGGATTTTATTCTAAGCATACTGCCAAGATACTGAAGGGCTTAAGCAAGAGGGGGCCACAGAAGACATTTCTTCCACCAGTGATAGAAGGACACGCTTGTGTGCTACTGGGAATGCATCAACAAAGAGGCAGAAACTGATGATGGGGGGGGCGACACACACTGAGGAGAAGGGAGGAGGGTGGCAGGGGCTTGGAGCAGCAGGGGATATATGGTTGCTGGGGAGGGGTAAGGACACACGCCAAGGGCTGGCAGAAAGGCCTGGTGTTAAGGGGCATCTGAGAGTGTGGCCATGAAGCCGTCCACATGGCTGTACATAGAACATGGAGGAGCTAGACGACTGGGGATTTGCCGGACAGGTAAGTAGAGGGAGAGGGGTATAGAAAGTTAAGGGAGTATGTGAGAGGCAGTGGTGGTGAAGAGTGCCAGGACAGTGGGGACAGTAGCTGGGAGGCTTGGTGAGGGCAGAGCACTGCTGTGACCTACAGAGCACATGAGCTGGGGAGACGCCATCAGGGTCAGGAAGCAGAGAGGAAAAGCAAGGTGTAGCTACCAGGGGTGAACGAAAAAGTCCACAAGAAGATGGTGAAAGTAGGAAAATCTAAGATTCCTGGAATACGCAGTTGCTAAATGCCTAGGTTTAACATTTTAAGTTCCAAAATCTAGCCCATTATTGAAATGATTGCCAATGACTACTTGATTTTCTCCTGAAGCAGGGGGCAAATTTGTACTGATTGCTTATACTTTGTACTCATGACTAACTTATCAATAACTAACAACTGAGCATTAGACCCAATATATGAGACGTTTGAGTTACATAATTTTGTGATACAATACCTGAAGTTTTACCAGGTTCTGTCACAGGAAAAGTAACAGTCTTGTTTTTTATTTCAACCTTCATGGAAGGTGGTTTTGTTATTGGTTTTACCAAATGACTAATGGAAGGCTCAGATGCTGAAGGAAGAATTCCACATGAGCTGGAGGCCAAACGAGTTAAAAGCTCTTCCTGAGACAAATCTTCCCGAATTTGAACTTTCACAATTTTCTGAAATGAGCCAAATAAAGTGATGACACAAATGTAGCTATCATATTAAAAGAAACAATTCCTATTTTTAAATCTTGATAGAGGAAAAAAATGCACTGATGAATTTAGAAATTAAAGTTTATTCAGATCTCAAACAAAATAAATCTTTGGGGCTGGCCTGGTGGCGCACTCGGTAGAGTGCAGTGCTTGGGAGTGTGGCGGCGCTCCCGCCGAGGGTTCGGATCCCATATAGAGACCGGTCCGCTCACTGGTTGAGTGCGGTGCGGGCGCAACACCCAGGGTTGCGATCCCGTTGCCGGTCGCGGTGCGGGTGCGACACCGAGGGTTGCGATCCCGTTACCAGTCACGAAAAAAGACAAAAAGGAGAAAAAAAAATAAAAATAAAAAAATAAATCTTTGACTCTATCTCCTCTCCCTGCTATCTTTTTTTTTTTTTTTTAAGAAAATTTAGCAAATTAGCAATGGCTTCTAGACCCCACTCTCCACCATCCCCACCAAGAGAATCATTAGAGATCACTAAATGGGGGGCCACGGAAGATGTTTCTTCAACCAGTGATGTACTAAGTGCTATAATTACAGAACCTAATTGGGCTGAGAGAAAAAACACCCTCATTTGATTTCTGAAATGTAAGTGCTAATAGGATTACAAAACTGAAGCTACAAAATACGAGAAATGCTGCTCAAAAACCTCTTTTAAAAGTACCTTCTGTCCTTTGTCACAGTGTATATAGATCAAACCACTCCATGGGAACATTGACTGTTTCGTGGATAAGGAGGAATTCGGACTCACAAGAATTTGTAGTTTACTCCTTAAAAAAACAATAATGAAAACCAAGAATATCCTATACTTTAATAGCAGTAATCACAAGAGTTATAAATGCCAATGATCAAGCATCTCCCATGGTTTGAGAAGAGAACAGAGGCTAGCCTCACAGAACTCCCACACCCATCCCGCCTCAAACCCCTGACTTGTGGCTGACAAAGTCAAATGACCTGAACCCATGAACCCAAGGGCACAACCCATGTGAAAGCAAACCAGGCCACGGAAATACCATTTTAAAAACAACTCAAAATAAAAATTTCTGGAGCCAAAGACCAACAGTACAAAAGCTCTGAACCACTTGGCAATAAAGTGATACAGTCACAGTACAAAGCAAATGCAACAGCTGGGGAGGACACTGGAGGAAAAGGTGGGGGGCAGGAATGGAAAAGAAATTAGGGAAAAAACTGTTTATTACCCAGTTGCTATTATATTCTGTGCCCAATGTTCTCTCCAAAATCCACGGGATTTAAAGAAGAGTTTAAATGTGGACAGCGTGATCAGATTTGTGACTTATAAGAAATCATCAATTACAAAAGCTATTACATTTCACATGTTAAAAATGGCAGGGAAAGATTACCGTTTTCTACTGCTAACAGCTAAATATGTGGGGCTATGGAAAAAGTTATTTGTGAAAAACCTGTTTTATCATCTCCCTATCTTTCCAACCATTACCTGAAAGGGTATGCTGCACATAATAAATGCTTAGTAAATGTTTAATTGATTGCTTTGGTCTTAGCAATGTTTCTCTGGAGTATCCCATATCCTAGCTCACAGTCCCAGTCAAGTAAACCCTCCTAAAATGCACCCTCATCATTTTGTAAAAGTTAAACTTCATGTTCTTCTTCTGCAAAGTTGCTAATCCCAAATATGAAGCAGCTTCTGGATGTGAGAGTTCTGTGCTGACTCAGATGAAATCCCTGAGAGGCTGCAGAGCTGTGGCTTTACCTCCTATCAATAACGAGGCTGCACATAAACAGCTGGCCCCAAAAGATTCCTTGTCTTAGAATATTTTATGTAGAAAATGGTAAGCTAAGTTATATCTCAGACATATTAAAAGTCAGGAAGCTTTGTCTGAAAAATGTCTTTCAGACAAAACCAGCAGAATACATGACTCAAATAACTTTAACAAACAACAAAATCATTTAGGCTTTAGAGACATCACCACTGCTCATCACATGCCTCAGTTTTATTTCTTGCTTTGTCATTTTGTGGGCAGAGTACTACATCAAAAAACATTCTGATGTCTTCCACTCCAGGCACTCTGTTCCACCTCAAACATGCCCCTTTATGCCACAGGTTAGGCCAATACCAGCTGTGAGCATGACCTCTACTCCAGTAAGCAACACAAATCTGGAGCTCACTGTCATCCCACAGAATCAAGCTTGTTAGAGAGTCAGCATGGTACAAAATATTACAGAATAGATTAAAACTACATATTATTTGATCCTTAAAAAGTCACCATAACAGCATCCGAATAACACCCAGAAGAACACAGAAGTCATACTTACTCTGGTGCAATAAATCCATATTGTGGTGTGACTGTGAGGCAATGAGCCGGCCAGTACAGCTCAAATTTCAGTAAACTAACAGAATTATTTACAATCTGGAAGCATCCAGTCTTTGCCATGTCACCTATTTATCAGATAAATAAAATGTTATTTACATTTAGCAATAGTGAAAAAGACAAATATTATCAGATAATAAAAATGAGTCCTGAATGACCACACTAGTAGTAAAATATTGCTTTATTTTGGTCTCTCAACTTCTCCATTGTAGAAATTTCAAATCCTTGGTAAAAACAAGTCCAATTATTTATTCTTGGAAACTACAAAGATACTGGCAATATTGAGCAAAGTTAGAGAAAAATGGAAATCTGAATATCATGTGTCTTAAGTTTGGCACACATGTATGTACCAGATTTGCTCCTACTCTGAACCAACTGTATCAGTGTAAAGGGCAATAAGAAGCCAAGTGATGAATAAGCTCTTTGAAGGGGGCGCTGGGTGTGGTGTGGCTCTGCCAAATGAGGAGTTGGGAGCCTGGTTGAGGAGCATGGCCTCAGGACAAGGGCAATGCTCGAGGCACGCCTGAGTGAGGCCTACAATATGGGAGCAGATCCTGGACGTGCCATCAGTGGGATGTGCATGAAGTCCATGTGTGTGTCCTAGATGAGCTGCAGTACAGAGACCACAGGCCCAGACTCCAGAACACACTTTTGATGTGTCGTCACTGACATACTTACAAGGAGAGGGAGCTACCAAAATCAAGTGTTCAGGTTGGACAGTCCATATCTCTTCAGTGACTGATTTATCTTGAGGTGGGTGAACAGCTTGTGAGAGAAGAGAATCTTGAGGACCTTTAACTGGTAAAACATCCAAAGAGACATTGCCACTATGTTTTCCAGAAGTTTCTGATTCACTAGAGAAATTATTTAAAAATTGAAAAGTCAGACAGAAAAAGAGACAGAGAGAGAAGCAGTTAAAAATGATTTAAAAAATAGTTTTAAAATGATTTAAAAAATTAAAGTGCATTATATACCATGTATTTTTCAGTGGATAAAAATCCTTCATACTGAATATACTTAAAAGAAGTGCATTTTAAAAAGTACAGTATAGGTCAAAAATTACAATAAACTTTAATCAGAATATTCAGTGATTTGAATTTTTTCTACCTTGATTTCTGCATATCCTCTGAAGTCTCTTAAAAGATTTACTAGAGTGGGGAGCCAAGGGCCTCGGCCATGCCCCCCCAACACCTGCAACCAGCCTAGTGACGACCACCTAGCAGCCACTGGAAACACCCTGGGGTCCCCAGTTGCTGTAGTGGGGGGCTGAGGGCTCCAGCCATACCCTCAACATCTGCATCCAGCCCAGCAATGACCAAGCCACCATTAGAAGCCCCCTGGTCTCCCCTGCAGGAATGAGAGGGGTGCCACAGGCCTCAACCACGCCCCCTCCTTCCTCCTTCTCCCATCCTATTTCCTTTCCTCTTCTCCTCTCCCTCCCCACCAAACCGCTCCACAACATCTTAGAATGTAAAAAATAACACTAATAAATAATTTTTAAAAAAGATTTACTAGAAAATTACACAAAATTAGGAATTTAAAAAAATCAATACTTCTAAATGCATCTATAATTGGTTTCACAATGCTGATACCAAGAAACTTTAAAACAAGGGAGTCTTCTGGGCAAAATACTATGGTAAGAAATGCTAATACAGTTTATGAAAATTTGTATTAAGTTTTGAAATAAAGTGTTTTCTAATAAGCCTTAGATTATAAAAAATTACTACAGTAATCACTAAATCACATGACATAATTGAAATTTAATTGTGTGGTGCCCAAATTGTCCTACCAAACACTGGAGCCACAACTTCGTTGATTTTTTTTTTTTTTTTTTTTCCCTTTTTTGTCTTTCTTCGTGACCGGCAACGGATCGCAACCCTCAGTGTTGCGTCCGCACCGGACCAGGACCGGCAACGGGATCGCAACCCTCGGCGCCGCGCCCGCACCTCGCTCAGCCAGTGAGTGGCCGGCCTGCATGTGGGATCCGAACCCTCGGCGGGAGCGCCGCCACGCTCCCAAGCGGCGCACTGTAGCAGTGCGCCACCGGGCCGGCCCCACAACTTCGTTTATTTCAAGTCAACACTCAGCGCAAAGAGAGAGTAATCCCTGTCTTTACCTCTCACCCACAGCCCTCTCGCCCCTCCTTTTCAAATCAGACCTCCACTGTCCGAGGAACAGAAGTCAGAAACCATCTTTTGAAAAATAAAAAGTTGATTCTTAGCTTTTTTGCTAAGAACTGGTTCCTCACAATTTAAGTTATTTTCAAGATAATTTTTAATATTTTAACTATTATCTCTAATTCTTTCTTTGAATGCCTTGAAAAAAGATCAGCACTGAAACTATAGGGAAGAGAAAACAGGCTGGCACAAGAAAGACACAGGTGGGGGTGTGAGTCAGCAGCAAGCTTCCTGCTGGTGGCACTGGGCTCACGGAGACAGCCCATGTGATGGAAAGATTGGTTAAAAATAGTAGGATTGAGTAAAAATGAAAATATATTGAGGATAATGGGGCCAGGATTCCCACTACCGGAAAAAAGGGTACCATTATAGAAAAAAATACACTGGTGGTGTTAGATTGGCATTGGAGGTATCAGGGAAAACTCATGGTTTATAACATATTTATAAACATATAAATATATGCATGTGGCTTTATATATTAATTCATGTACTTCCAATCTCTGTCCACTGAGAGGGCCTAGAAGCAAGGGCAACTCAACAGCAATGACCATCGTAGTAACATATCCTGGTTTCTAATACCAAAGAAGTAACTAATAAAAACAACCATAACTTCTAAGAGAAATGGCTATCCCAGGGCTGAGCAGGGAAAGTTTAAGATGAGCCTAGAATATTCTGTTATGCCAGTGAATAAGAAAGTGCTCAGAGAATGATATGGGACTCATGGAGAGAATCAAGGAGCGAGAATGCAAGACTAAATATTGACAGTGAATGATTAATACTAAATCCATGAGTCCATCCTAATATAAGTAAATAAGTACATAAAGTAGGGAAAAGTAAATCTCTTCCCCACAGTGGAAAGACAAGTATAAATGTAGAAAGAAAGATGGAATTAGAAAATCACTTTTTGTTTACCATAATAGTAATAGTATGATTCAGGCAACAATCATCAACGGATGCTAAAAGTTTGATAAGAACAAGATAATTCATTATTTCTATGTGTCTCCCTGTAAGATACTTGACAATTAACTTTACAGTGGAGAAACACAGCAGACAACATATTTAACAAAGTGACAAAAAGATTAGCAGGAATAAGACAAATCAGCATAGAACATCATCTGAGAAGATGCACTACGAAAACAAACAGCTGCACTACAGAAACAAACAACATCTGTGCTGGCCAGTTGGCTCAGCTGGTTAGAGTACAATGTCATACACCAAGGTCAAGGGGTAGGACTCCATACTGGCCAGCCACCAAAAAAAGAAAAGAAAACAAAACAAACAGCATCATTTCTGTGGTGTTCTGCCAAAAGTGTGAAACCTGAATCTGCAAACTGAAATTGAGGAATATCTTACAAAGTAACTTTGTAAGTCCAGTGGCTTGGATTCTGCAAAAACATCAAGGTCATTAGTAAGAAAAGGGTTATCAGCTGGCCTGTAACCTATTTTCTCTGAGAATGCTCAAGAAAAAAGCAAGATGACTTAGTCAGATCTTCTGGTAATCTTGCAAATGACAGATCTCCTAGCAAACACACTAATGTCCTTATCTACGGAATGCTTTTAACAGGACGGACCTGGTCTGTTTAGAATTCTTTGGGGTTAAGAAAACTAAAATTTATGATTTTATGGGGTATAGTTCTTTGTAAAATTATCACATAAGTCACAGTATAAAACAGAACCTTCATACATGCTCAAAATAGCTCCCCCTTTTGTGTAAGCCATGTGTCACATGCACAATACAGACTGTTAAATTTGAAACAGAGCACAAGCATTAATGTTGCAAAAAGACCTAGAAGCCACTGGCAGTGCTGGACTTCTCCAGGCCTCATCTAAAATTATTAGTAAAACTTAATTCTGTATCATATCTTTGATCCTGTGGATCTGATCTGATAATCCAAACTTCTGTTATCCTGGTAATGAAAGATAAGGAAAGACTATACTATATTCTAGTTATGTTAGTATATGTTCTATATTAAAAGAGAGTAAAGAGACAGGCTAACTAAACACAACATGTGATTTTAGATTAGAGTCAGTGTAAGGACACCGTGGGCACTCAAGCGGAGGGGGAGGGGGAAGGCACTCCCTGGCAATATGGCGCCCTTCCGGGTTCTTCTCCGCAGTAAAAGCCCACCGGTGCCAAAACCTCAACCAGTCACAGGTCAGGGCTCACTTCCTGCCCAGCCCCGTCCAATCAGCTACCGCCCGTCCACCCCCTATCCAAACCCAGAACGCAGCTCCCTATAAATACACCCGCAGTCCTTGAATAAAGTGGAACTTCTCTGATGAACTGTCAGCTCAGGTCCTGTCGTCTTATCAGCTCGGGTCCTCCGTCCTTTCAGTCAGGACCAGGGAAGAAGGATGAAAGAGGATTTTTTTGGTTTTGTGGTTTGATTTAATTATAAAGACATTATTGGAACTGGTGAAATACGAACAGAATCTGTGGACTAGATGGTAGTATGTACCAATATTAAAAAGTCTAATTTTGATAAGTTTACCATGGCTATGTAGAAGAGCATTTTTAGGAATTTGGGGTAATCCATCATGATGCCTGCAGCTTACTCTTAGATGGTTCAGAAAATAGTTATACACAAATAAAAAATAACAAGGTAAATGTGATAAAATGTTAATTGGGGAATCTGAATGCAGAATATATGGGAGTTCCCTGTACTATTTTTAACCTTTCCTGAAAGTTCAAAATTATTAACTTAAACTAAAAAATAGAGGTGAAATAAACATTCTGAGTTAAAATAATAACAATAAAGTACAGGAGATCTGAGTCAAAATAATAACAATAAAGTACAGGGGAAAAAATCAGCTCAACTATGAATCAAATAATCTTGAAATCTAGTGAAAGATTTTTGTTTGTTTTACCTTTTAGATTCCAAGCTAGCTTTGGAAGAAGGCTGAAGAAATTCTCTGCTAGAAATGGAATCTCTGAATTCTCCAATTACTGAAAGTATAATTTTACGCATGTTTCCATAAAAGAGCTGAACATCATTAGGCCGTTGGGGAAGATCATACACTGAAACAGAAAATAGTGTTTTGAAATACATGAATCGTAAGCACACCAAAAATGACAAATAAACTATAAATAGTTATAGCCACAGAATACTTCCTTAGTTTGGGGTAGGTGACATTTTGATTAATACTGTTGCTGACTCATTAATACTGTTGCTGACTGGCATGAAATTATAGGCAGTTCAGCATCTGTGGCTGGCAGCTCAGGCTCTGAGCCTGAATTTGAACTACCCTTGCCACTCATTAGCTCTGTGACCTTTGGCAAGTTACTTAGCCTCTCTGAGCTTTAGTTTCCTCAACTATAATATGGAGTAACAATCTCAGGGGCTGTTGTGAGCATCAAAATAACTATTTTTGAAGATATATATGGCAACATTTATGTGGGCCAGACATTGTTCTAATCCCTTATATTTATATCTATTTTCAGAACAACTCGTTGAGGTATTATTATCTCTACCTCAAAGATGAGGAATCTGAATCACAAGGAGGTTAAGGGTATACAATTTGTCAATTGAAGCAAATCTAGAAATCAGGCACTATAAACATTTCTAGATTAATAAAATAGTGCTCAAGATGAACATCTCTAGATTAGGCCACCTGAATTTGTATATACAAAAAATTTTATAGAATATACTTTAATCTATGCATAAATTAGATAACCTTTAAGAATTATATATATTTTAAATAAAATTTTTAAGAGAACACAGAAACTATAAATTTAAATTTATATTAACCAAAAACATCTGACTATCAAAGTTTAAATCAACTACGAAAATATTTGCCACAAATTATACATTTTGTAAAAGTAAGATCATTACGAATACTTGTAATAGTAATATGCTCAAGCAAATATTATTCAAAATAATCACACAAAAAGTTCAACTGCAACATTATCATAGGTGAACACAAAAAAAGTAGGATTGTTTCCTCCATTCATCTGGACAATAAGATACAATTTCCTCAATTCTGGTGGAATTCTGGTATCCCAAAGACCTAGTCTAAGTCTCAACTGAACCCCATCGTAGACGGGTGATCTTGGCACATCACTGAGCTCTTGGTTGGGCTTGTCAACACATTCCTTGACTTTCTGATCATGCAGCCCCCTCTCCCTAGAACATTCCTCCTCATCTTCTCCACCCTGTCAATTCCTGCTCTTCCTAAGTGAGGTGCCCTTTCTTCATGCCCTCCCAGATTCCTAACCACAGCTCTACCACAGCACTTTTCATACCACCCTGGAATCGCCTATCTTCCTCATCTCTGCATGCCCGTCATGGACCAGGCCTGCATTCTGCACCACTACATCCCAGTGTCTACACACTGACTGGCATCCTGTCCTCTCGGTGTGCATCCATTCGTGATGAATGGAATGATGCTGAATCATGGAAACATGCAACTTCTGAACCACTGTACACTCATGCTACCTACTGTTAATCACCATCTTCACCACACTTGCAATATGTGACTAAGTGTTTGTCTTCCATCTCCATAGCATTGTTCAGTTTAACTCTTATTTAGATCTTTCCTATGAGGAAGAGATAAGGAAGACGAAGCTCAGAGGGGCTGAAATGGCAGAAATGGGTCTTGAATTGAGTTTCAAATCCAATGTTCTTTCCCCTTGCTCTGCTCCCTTAGCACACTGCTGACAAGCCCATTCCAAATAGTTTCATCATTTTTACTAACAAATCCCTGCCTTCCCTTTGAGCATATGATCGAGACTCCAATTTACTGAAAAGATCACAGACTACTCTACATCACTCCTTCAAAGGCATAAGTATCCTCTTCCTTTTCTATTTCATATTTAAAAAGCAAAATATATTCCATTACTAAAAAACTGGAAAATAAAAGTAGGAGGAAAGAACTACCACCCGAAATTCTACCACCAAAACATAACCACTTAATATTTTCCTATGTATACTCCTGTGATTCTACTTATGTAATTATATACACACATTAAATCATTTTTACTAAAGTGAGATCTTACCATATACAAACTTTAAGAGCAATGTTTGTCTTAATAAATGAAAGCTTCCCATGTCATTTAATATAGATTCATGTCATTGTTTTAACGGCTTCAAAGTATTCTAATGCTCAGACAACCCCTTATTCTTCAGCATTTAGGTTACTTCTGCCTTCTTGCTATTATAAACAATACTGTGGTGCAAATCTATACATACACTTTTACACAATTTGTATGTCTTGATACATATATTTCGTGTAAGTAATAAAACTATTAAATACTTGAATTGTTTAGCTCAAATACAGCCAACCACTGAGGTTAGAATCACTTCACTGTTGTCTATTTTGGAAATTTTTTTGCCACCATTACTCCCTCCATAAATCTGACAGTAGGCACAACAGCATGGCAATCTCAAAATAAGTGTGAGTTCACAATAATCAAATCTTAAATAGCAATTAATTTGAATTTAATAATGACCATTCTCCTCCTCCTGTTTACAAGTCTAATCCGTAGAATAAGTGCAGTAATATGTTAATAACATCTAATGATCACACATCGCAAAGCTCTTTACTTTGATCATCATAATAACTCTGTGTGGATGAGAAGACAGATATCATTCTTCTTCCCATTTTACAGATAAAAACACTGAATTCAGTGGTATAATTTATTCAAAGTCACACAACAGAGCTACAGCTCAAATTCAACCAGACACCATATAAAACTAACACTCTTCTTTCTTCTGTCACATCACTGGGCCTACACACTACTGTAAATGACCCAGAAGACTGAAGACTTAAAGACATGCTGAAATTCTTACCTTCAGTTACTAGTAGCTCATCTTGAAATGTTTCAGCAAAATTCATGCTTTGCAGCACACTATGTTCTGGAAGTATCTGTTTTATAATCCCTGGTTTATGTAATAGGGTTCTGCCAGGAGATATTTTTATTCAAAAGTGACTTTACACATAAAATGGCCTTAATTAATCTTCATTAATGCATTTGGCAAATCCCACTAACAGTATGATACATCAGTGTGCAGATCTCATATCTTAAGTCCTAATTTTAAAAGAAAACCTGTTTTGGAAGTTCCACTAAAAGTTACACACGGTAGTAAAATCATTGGTTTCAGTTCAACATTAAGAGCAAAACAAGAACTCCCTAATATACGAGTAGAAACAAGAGTAAAATTAGATTCTTTTCAGGCCTTACATTTTCATTATTTGTAATAATTTGGTCATAGTTAGAAATTTTTCTCAGAAAAAAAAAAGAACATGCTAAAAAAAGATAAGATTATCAGAGGGAAATATTTTAATTATCATATAACTATGTTTATCTGGCCTCTTCCAGAAAATCCTTGAGGTGGGAAAACTGAAATGTAAATTTCTCTATAACACTAAGATTTTCACAAAGGAAATCTAATTACTATATTAATTTATGGCAAAAAGGAGTTCTAAAACAATACACTGATTTCTATATCCCAGTAGAGAGAAAGAAAAAAACAGAAAACCTAGTAATCTAATTTCTCTAAATGTCAATTTCTATTTTTCTTTCTTTTTTTTTTTTTTGGCAGATGGCTGGTACGGGGATTCAAACTTTTGACCATGGTATTATAACACACGTTCTAACCAACTGAGCTAAACAGCCAGCCTCAGTTTTTATTTCTAAAATACTTAATTAAAAAACAAAACCAGGTTCAAAGGTGAGCTCTCCACATTTGGTCTGTTCTAACAGTATGCAGCAAGTCACCATTAAACTCCCTTTTTAAACATTCCAATGATCCTCAACAAGTTAAAAACAAAATAATTTCCCAAATTCTGTATCAGAATAAAATACAGCAGAACAGAAAGAGTCAGAAGAAGGAAACACTGGTATATTCATTTTTGCTCCCTACTGGAGTTAATGATTTCCTATTAACAGACTCAGTGTCATAAACTTCACTTACCTTGTTTGGGTCCTCTAGTCTAGGAAACTAATTTTATAATAAAAGAATACAGAATCCAATGCATGAGAATGTAACTTATATTTAACTCACACCTAGACCTAAATCAATTATCCTAAATTTGCCAAAAATTTAGCACATTAAACTATATTTAATTTAGATGTATCAAATTTTTATAAAAGTACATGCTTTAAGTAGCTACAAGTTAAACATCCTACGCATTTCTAAAATGACTTGTTCCTTTCAAATAATTCACAGCATTCCCAGAAATATTCCAAATTAGCCAGGTGTTTATACAATATAATCTTTCAGTAGTTTTTAAATCTCTTCTGAAACTAATCTACTGTCACTCGATATATCCCCATGGTACATTATGAGTATGGTCCTATTACGGAGTATGACGCTCCTATTGAGTAAAAATACCACAATACACATGTCTAGAAAAGAAGGCACACTCTGAAGAAACATCAGAGATGAGCTTCCTACAGGAATTTCATTTCTTCCTCACATTAGGATAGCTTATCAGTTGCACAAGTTTAACCAAGATTTTTTCATCTACCAGTTCACTAATAATGAAACATTCTAAAAATTCCAAACTCCAAGCCATTTAAGCCTTCATTGTTTCTACTAAATAGTTCCAAGTATCGTCTAAAGTAAGTAATCTACCTTCGATACTGCTGTCTTGAAATTTCATCTCCACCAAAGAAGTATATAGTTGACAGTTCCGTTCCAGTTTTATAACAGCTCTCTCTGTCTGATGGATTATATATTAAAGTAATATCCTGATGCCAAGAAAATAAACCAGGAGTGAATATTAAATATTTTTCTTGAGTAAGTCATTTCATTCTGAATAAAGTCTTATAAGCCTAAACATTCAATATAGACACAAGTATGGCATTTCCAAGAAGATAAGCACTTTCACTCCTACATTATTTTCAAGTTTTATTTCAGCTTTTGGCCATAAAATATATAATTATTAAATAATCTAAAAATTAGTTCATGTTTTTAGTGCAGAGACTTTTATACTTACTTCTTGTGTTCTTTCCTTGAGCACAAATTTATCTGGAAAAATCCTTAATACTTTAGGATCCAGCAAAACTTTTTTCTGAGAATCCTTAAAACCTACTGCTGTAACAAAAGCTGCACGAGAGCCAGTGTTGCGGACAGAAAAAACAATTTTACTTTCTTTGCCAGGTATTAAACCATTCACTGTTACCATATAACTGTCAGATAATTTTTTAACACCTTCCAAAATGAGATTACTTGTTCCTCCATATCCAGACAAAGGTATCTAGAAGAATATACACATCCAAAATTAATTTTATGTAAGAAGAAAGCAGAAAATTCAATTACAGTCAGATTAACTACAATTAAAATTTTTAATGTTTATACACTTTGGCTAGTAGTTACCCACCTTCAGCCCAGCATTATATTAAAGACTCTGTCTTAAGGGAAAAACAAATCAAAGAGCCACAGAATTATTTACCTTCCAATATGCTAAGAATAATGATTTCTTTCTTACAAAAGCCAAGCTTAAATGACAGAAGAATAAGAAAAAGATCAGTATAGGTAGGCTTGCTTAAGAAGATTTTAGGGTGAAACATACTGATGTTTGTAATTACTCTGAAATGCATTAAAAATTATATGGATTGATGAATGGTTAGATATACAGTAAAAGAAATACAGCACACGTTAATTGTAGAATCTTAAGTGGTAGGGTAAATGGGTGTTTACTGTATAATTCTTTCAATTTGTCAGTAATTCTGAACATTTTTAGAGTAAAATGTTTGGGGGGAAATTTATTATCATATAATCTCTTAGCATTTGGTCTAGCTAGTGTCAGAGAGAAGCATGCAAAGGACTAAACTGAAGATAAGAACTCAAACAAGTGTCCAGGGACAGACACGCCAGTAACAGGGAAGCCACAGACTGGCACCAGCCCTTAGGATGCATTCTGCTGCAGCCTCCACAGGGCTCAACCCTTCCGAGAAATAAGGTTCACAGAAGACATTCCATAAATAAAAATGCAAGGAAAAGATTTATACTGCTTGAAAAGAAACTTTTCATACTCTTTAAAACACTTGTCTTTAAAAATTATCTTTCTAGCCAAGAGCTGGAACCAACCAAAATATCCATTAATGGATGCGACTGGATAAGGAAAATGTGTATACATGCAATGGAATTCTATTCTGCCACCCAAAAAAGTGAAATTCTGCCATTCGCAGCAACATGGATGAACTCAGAGAAAATTATGTTAAGTGAAATAAGCCAGGAACAGAAAGAAATGCCACACGTCCTCACTCATAAGTAGGAGCTAAAAAAAGAAAAAAGTAAGTAAAAAAAGAAAGATACAACAATCATCACAATAATTTGTTGAACTTTCAAAAAGAGAGAACAGAACTGAGGCTACCAGAGGTGGGAAAGGGAAGAGGGGTTGAGCAAGAAATTGGTAAAGGGCCACAAAAATTATTACATTGTGTAACACTGAACATACTAATTATCCTGATTTGAGTACCACATATTGCACACAGGTATTGATATTCAACGTTGTACCCCACAGATATGTACAATCAATTCTGTTTCAACTGAAAAAAATTATCTTTCATTTCTAATTATTAAAATAGGTTCCAAGGAATCCCTTGCAAACTTGAAAACATTAATGACTTATTCTGAGTTTTGTTACGTACCTAATCAAAATAACATTTTGAAAAATTAAATTTAGGGGCCGAGCCCGTAGCGCACTTGGGAGAGTGCGGTGCTGGGAGCACAGCAGCGCTCCCGCTGCGGGTTCGGATCCTATATAGAGATGACCGGTGCACTCACAGCGCTCACTGGCTGAGCACGGTGCGGCCGGTCTCAAAAAGGACAAAAAAAAAAAAAAAAAAAAATTAAATTTAGGTTCCTCATAAATTTGTATTGAATTGCCTTTAAGTACAAATTAATAGCATTTCAAAGGGCTTCAGATTGGAAGCTCCTACAAATTTTACCTCAATCAAAGTGACCTCTGGTAGTTTCAATAGCCAAAAATGTTTCTAATTTTTCTTTTTCCACAGAAACTTATGAGTAAATTTTATGTATAAAATAAATAGAAAATGGTAACAGGGGAAAAGGTAGCTTTGAAAACTCAATATTAAGTATTCTTCCTGTATTTAACAAAGCCCTAAGGAATCATAAGTTACTACTGAGTAAAAAGGATAAGAAAAAAAAATAAGATTAAATAAAATGAACCTGACTAATGTCAATAAATCCAAAGGTGAAACAGGAAAAATTATCGCTCCAGAGCAAGGTTTCTTAACCGCCAGACTACTGAAATTTTGAGCTGGCTGCCCTGTGCACTGTAAGATGTTTAGCAGCATCCCTGCCCTCTTCCCACTAGATGCCAGAAGTTTCCTTGTGCCGTCCCCAATTATGACAACCAAAGATGTCTCCAGACATTACCAAATGTTCCCTCTGGTTGAGAGTCACAGCTATAGAGAACTACAAAACTGTAGAGCCTGTCATTAGCACCCTAAAGACTGCATAAGAGACAAATCCGGGCTCTGCTGGCCTGAACTCAAACCCAGCCTCCATCACTTACTGGCATATATAATGCATGACCACAGCCACACATCTTTCTAAGCCTCAGTTTCCACATATGCAGAAGGGAGAATACTATTATCTCAGAAGGAGGTTTTGAAGATAAAATGTGATAATCCACATAGTGATTAAGAGCAGTGCCTAGCATGTACTCAACATGCAATAAGTAATAAGTTTTTATCACAGTCCCATCATGTTTTATGGTATTCAAAGCACATATCATTTCATTCGTTCCTCAGAACCAAACTGGGAAGGTGAGATGGCAAGTAGCTATATTTCTCAGGTAAAGAGAATGAAGTGACTGATCCATGGTGAGTGTATCTCCCAAATTTCTGTTTTGAAACTTAATTTCCAGTGTGACAGTGTTAAGAGGCAGGACCTTTTGGAAAGTGATTAAGTTATGAGGGCTCTGCCCACATGAATATGATTAGTGCCCTTATGAAAGTAGATAAAGAGAGTGCCTCTGTCCCTTCCACCGTGTAAGCGCAGCAAGAAGGAGCAGTCTTTGAAGCAGAGAGCAACCCCTCAGACACTGAATCTTCTGGCACCTTGATCTTAACTTCCCAACCTCTAGAACTGTGACCAATAAATTTCTGTTGTTTATAAATCACCCAATCTGCAGTATTTGGTTACAGCAGACCAAATGGACTAAGAGTATTTTTGCTGAATTGAAAGAATAAAATTTACTTAGACAGTCAACATCTTAAACAGCTCTACCTGGTTTTACCCAAAGATGTGTTCCTGAAAAGCTAGCTGGGTACATTTAAAAATTCTCAAACTGAAATAAAACTTAAAAGTACTAGGAGAGATTGTTACTTACAGGAATACCATGATAGTTGCTTTTATACGTGGACAATTACTCCCTAACTTGTTGATAACTCTAGACAATCACATATTTAGACTTATAAAAAGCAGAGTATATATGACTTACCAACATTGAACCAATAGTTATAACATGTCACAAACTCCACGGGAGGAAAAAACAATCAAATTATCTTACTGTGAACTTAATGCCTGGTTGGGATCGATTTCCAAGCTGTTTGATTTCTAGTTTAGCCAACATACAAGATAATCGAGTAGGTGCAAATAATACAGAGATGATAATGTCTTCTTTCGAGCCAATTCTGATCTCACAGTTACTGGTCAATCGCTCTTCTGAAGATGATAATGTCTTCTTTCGGGCCAATTCTGATCTCACAGTTACTGGTCAATCGCTCTTCTGAACCAAAGGTATTCTGAAGCTACAATTTAAAAACAGTCATAAAACAAAGCTGTAGCACAAATAAAATATACAGTTAACACAAACTCTTGAAAAGATGAGTAATACAAAGTGGTCTGCATATGTAAGTGTCCTGCCCTAGACAACACAGACAGAACAGGAGAGTATGCACTCTACGAACCTGAAAGCAGTCCTGATCTTGTCCTCTAATAAGCAGTCGTAAGTGTTGGGCTGCAGAT